TCGGTTATGTCTTTTCCCCGGGAAGTTGAGATCAAAATGGTTGGCACATACTTGGTGAACCGAGTGTTTCCTTACAGGGTGGTGGAGATCTCTACCTGGAGCAAGGGATTTTCAAAGTAAATGGACACCGCCTCAAACGTTACCTCGGCGGAGAGGTAATGCCCCAAAAGGATGTGGTACTCCTACATGATGTTTAGCCCAAAGTCTCCGTCTAGCTTAAGATGTTAAACTAGCGTTTATTGGGAGACAACCCAACGGAGGTATGTCGTTTGAATCGTATTGTAAAACTGTGTTATGTGTAATAACCTCGCCTCAAGCGAGAATGTGCACGTGTTTGTGTTTTATTTGTTTATCCTTTGAAGCTCAAACATCCTACCCCGGGAATTTCTCCAACTTTTATTCACCAAGCCATGCGGTAACATCGTTCTACCCCCTATTTTATGCCATTGAGGGCAGTGTCGATCTTATGTGTGTGTGTGGGGGGGGGGGGTAGTTTATGCTTATGCTTGTGTGTGTGAGTGAACGCTTGGATCCTTGATGTATGCACAAATTTGAAAAATTTGAGGGCTCCAAGCAATGCATGATCAAAATGGCCGGTTGGTGGGTGAATCTCGTGCTTATTTGGCATCGATCTTGAATGGTTGCATGTAATCGAGTGCATCCTATTATGATGACTGAGAATGCATTAGGGTTGTGCAAAAGCTTAGTTCTCATGTGTGTTTGAATGAATGGATGTCTTGACTTGGTTAATTCTTGATTACAATTGCCATGCATTGAAATATTTAAAATTGGAATAGATGATTGAGCGGCTAGGTAATGTGAGTTTTTTGTTGATCGTCTTTTTCATGTGTGATAGATCCCTCTCGCCATGGTGTGTAACATTCACCATTGTCACTAGTGAGTATGATGGAGGAATATGATTTTCCTCGCCCAAAAGTTGATTGTCCCGAAACATTTTATCCCCTAGTCAACCCCTTTGAGCCGTGTGACTTTGGGGGTCGTTCTAATGCTAGGAGCTTCGTGCTTGTTGAGATTAATGGTGATTGAAAGAAAGAACCCCACCCATCCTTTCTTCGTGTCGAAGCGTGAGTCATCCTTGTGTCTCGGAGTTCTCGCTTTTGAGCTCCATTGAGGTTTTACATAGGTGGTTTTGCACGGTTCTTGCTAGAAATGAGAAGGTAGTGTTGGAGGGAAGTTCTGAAATGGAGAGCATTGTTGGTTAAATAAAACAAGTGTCCTGTGCTTCGCTCTCTAGTACCCCCCTCGAAAAAAAAAGAGAAAAAGAAAGAAAGAGCAAAAAAGAAACGAAAAAGAGGTAATAAAACGGGATAAATAAAAATAGAGAGTGGCCACAAAAGTCTAAGTGTATGCTCTAGAAAGGTTTTCTTGGCACTCAAGCCATTGAAACACCTAAATATTTTTATCACCTTCACTACTAGGTTTGAAATGTGAATAGCAAGATAGGCCGAAAAGTGTGCTTGAATGTGGTTTGTGATTGGTAGTGGTTAGGAAGAAGGGAAGTATGGTTTTTGGCCGATGTTAGTGGCCTTTGTTTGTAGGAAAGGTTCTTAGTCTAGACCATCGAACCTTGGTTTTAGGTTGAAGATGTAGGACCTCATGCCATGTTTGCCACCACCCAAAAAGCATTTTCCCCATGCCCAAGACATTTGTCATTCATTTGAACCCGTGTCTAAGACCTCCAGAGAAGCTAGTGATGACAACTGTCCCGTGAACTCTAGCATTTCAAGGTTGCCTCCGTGGTGGATAGACGATTGGGCTTAGTGTTGATGATTGTGCACATCTCTTGCACCAAAAAGGTCCTGACCCCATTGGTCGAGAGTGAGTGATTCATTCTTGTTTTGCATGTTCATATCTCTTACCCCGGTGAGGACCTATGTTGCCCCGTTGTATGTTCCTTGGACTTGAGTTCTATGCATGGTTAGTTGTGGTTGGTGAGTAGTATGGTCAAGACATGCATTGATTTGTAAATAGGGTGAGAACTTTTTGTTTGCCCATTCTTGATGCAATCGAATGTCGGTAGTGGATGATGCCAGTATTGTTGAGGCGGTTCATGTGTTGATGCCCAATAGTCATTGAGATTCATCGCTTTGTGCCTTTTGATTTGTGCCCAAGTTATCTTGTTAAGTTGAGATATCACCTAGGTTGGAAATGGTTTGCTTGGGGACAAGCAAACGTCTAATTGTGGGGGAATGATTCGGGCTCATTTGTACACTTTTTACCCCCGGTTTGCTTAGCCGTTTGAAGCATTTTTACTCCGGTAGGTTTGGTTTTACGTCGGGTTTTGCCTTGTTTTGGAATTTTTCAGACTTTGGCAGGTGGAACCATCCCGGAGTCTAAAGTTGGACGAAAGGGCGAAAAATCAAGTCAACCGGTGGAAGCAGCACCAGATCACGGTTTTGGCCGTGTGTTCACGGTCACTACGACCGCAAACTGGAGGTGCTACCCGTGAACAGCCAGGAATCCAGAGCACAAATAGCTTTCACTGGACACAAGTTTGTTCACGATCGTAAGACCGTGAACTCGGGTCATTGCCCATAAACTGGTATTAGTGATGCGGCGCGTTTCGACTTGAGATCACGGTCCCAGCTTGCAGTTCACGGCCGTGTACTAAAGCCCGATCTGGGTATATAAATTATGTTGAGCCAAAGGAGAAAAGGGAGAGAGACCTAGTGTGATAAACTTCTTCTACTTCTTCAGATTTCTAGAGTGAGAAAGTGAAGAACCAAAGAAGAGGAGAAGCTAGGGTTTCATCTTCAAGTAAGGATTTGGGAATTCCTCCCCCAAATGAGGATCTCTTCAACACAAGGATCAAGGCTAGCATCTCTTTGATGGTTTTCCTTCTTCTCTCTTGTGAATCGGAGGTCAAACGAGCTCAAACGAGATCAACGAAGCTTAGGAGTGCATGCTGGAAATTGTGCACGGCCGTGTGAAATTCTGAACGGCCGTGTGGGTTTCCCAGGGGGTTTGCACGGCCAAAACCTCAATTTGCACGGACGTACAAGTAGGGGGTGCGAGTTTCAGCGGGTATAAAAGCTGTTTTGGGATTTTTGGAGAGGGAGAGCTGGGTTTTGGATCCCAAACACCCAAGGGACGAACCAAAGAGAGAGAGAGAGGGCGATTTGAGGGCATTCTTGGAGTGGAATTGGAGGATTTCTTCACCTTGGAAGCTCGAGGAACAAGCCCGGACTTGAAGACTGATCATATGAAGATTCTTACTGTAGTCTCTCTCTTCTCTATGGAGTAACTTTCCTTCACTTAGGTTTTGAGGAACCCTAGCTATGTTTGTTTGATTGGATGATTGTATGAGTACTCCTACTTGATAATCTTGAGTTCATATTCAATCTATGCACGTTTTCATGATTCAATTCTGCTTTAGTCGAGATTATTGATTCTGCTTTGATCCTATGAGAGCGAATACCTGATTAGGTCAATAGAGCACCATAGATTGATAGTATTGGATCGATTGCTTTAGTCGAGGGTTGATTCACTGCTTTGTATCGATTGAGAGCCTCTTTCGATAGAGGGAGTCTAGTTCAGAACACCTTGATCAGTTGTTCTAGAGAAGGATACGTCCCTCTAGGCAATCGACTCAAGAGGGCCTTGACCCTTTAGTCGAGATTCAAGGTCTAGTTAAGGATTCTCCGCATTGTGAATGAAAGTGAAACAGGTTAGAGATCATCAATCATTAATCTGGCTAGTGGCTAGGGGGAATCATACCTAAGTGAGTTCCCAAACTGTAATTAGTAGTTTTACTTAGTTTAGTTAGTAGAGTAGTTTAGTTAATCAATCTTTAATCTGATTTGCTAGATAATGAACTGAAGCTGAGTAATAGTACATCTAGAGACCCGAGGATTCGATATTTATTACTTTCTCCACTATACTGTAGTCCCTTTCATTGAAAGAGGCTTGTCAATTTTTAGGTGTTGTGTCGTAGCGTGTCAATGAACGATTGTGTTTGTGAAAGTCTATCAATCTAGTTGTCATTCTAACCGAGGTAGAGAGAAAAACCCCCTTCCATTCTTTGAAAGAGGCTTGAATGTTGGGTTTTCTTAGACAATTCATTGTCTCCTAGTTAAGTTAATGCAGGGAAAACCTCCTATTTTCTATTAGCACCTAGGGTTTGGTTGTGGGTGGCCGTCCGAACTCCGATTCGAGGGTGAAGTCTAACCAACCCTTAGTCAATAGGTCGAGAGAGTCACGTTGGTGGCTTGGATCACATCCCTTTCCCTCGACCTAGAGACTAAGAGAGTGGCGCTTGGCAACTTGTTGCACTTCCCTATGATTTACAACCCCCTCACCACACACGCCATTCGATCCACCAAGTCGTAATTGTTAGCTAGGGGGAGCAACACCCGAGTGAAGCCTTCTCAATTAGTGTTAAATCCATTCACTTTTGCAAAATTTTTAGCTTTAGATTGTAGTTTTCACCAAAAATCAACCGCTAGATAATTTTACAAACAATCGAAGTAGGGGTACATGAACCAGCCCGGGTCGATATTTAAACATACTTGCCCTATACTGCACCCAGTTAAGGTTTATACTTGGGCCTTAATTGAGAGTTTTATTGTGGTATTCGAAACGAGTCAACGTCATCATGTCTATTTAACAAGATAACAATATACCCAAATGAAAGTGACATCACAACGAACCTGACTGAAATAAGGAAAGCTAAGTGTAAAAGAACAAAAAAGACTGGCTTCAAGAAGTGTGTTGCAATTTCTTCATTTTGCGAGGGGATAAGACACTTTTTTGGCCATCTCCCCAATAGAGCAAGAGTACAACCTTCAACGTGGTTTGATTCATCACGACACATTCTGCCTAAAGCCCCTCACGTTCCCTTCTAATCTTACACTGTCTTATCTCTCTCTAGCTATATTATAAGAACGTCCTCCATTTGCATTACATGATACAAATTGAGTCTAATACGTATGTAATCAGAGGCAAGACAAAGGGAAGCTATTATATTAACCTCAGAAACGATGTCGGATTGGGGCCTGGTTTTCGTTGCAATGGTGCTTTTCGTTCTCCTAACGTCGGGGTTGCTGTTTTAGGTGCCAGGTCGCCACCGCTGCATCGAGTTCGGCAACTTCCAGACCAGCGGCGCCGCCATTTTGCTTCACTCCCTTCTCTATTTTGCTCTCATCTGCGTATTCTTGCTGGCCTTTCAGGTCCATTTTTATCTTGGCTAACTAGTAAAACCCCCAGTTCTTTATTGTATAACCCATAGTTATACATTGTTGCAAGTTGGATGTGTTTTTTTATTCCTTCTATTTTTTGCGTTCTTCTTTGTTTTGAGTAGTGATCGTGAATGTAACTTGGAGTGATACAAACTGTTTCGTCGATGAAACGAAAACCGATCATCAGGATGGTTGAGGAAAATGGAAATAGAATAATGTTATGTGAATCCAGCCATTCTAATAGTTTGGGAATTACTTGTGTATGTTATTTGGGGTATTAATAATTGAGACCTTTTTTCCCCAGTAATTATTGATTTTTCATTAATCACCGCCTGGAAGACCAGGACCCGCAAAAATTGCTCCACTATCCCGTATACAAGGTTAAGACAGAACAACTAAGCCATCTAACAAAAGGTCAAAAGACGGCTAAAATGAGGTATCAACCTAACTTCTGTAAGGAAAGCAAAGTTTCCCATAGCATAGTAATTAAAATCTTCAATTAACTGCTGCACTAACAACCTGGACTCTTTTCTGCTGCCTTGATATATACGAGTGCATCGTTCCTTCCAAACGACGCTAAGGCACCAGCACCAAACAGCACCTTGCACAAGACCTTTGACTCCATTCCTTGTTATTCTACTTATCCACTGGAGTAAATTTTCCCACGATCTAGGCCAGAAACTTGAGCCAAAGATGGCTGCAAAAACCTGCAGAGAAAAAGTACATTTGTAGAAAAGATTTGTCCTACTTTCCTCTTCAATCCCACACAGAACACATTACGCATCATTCACTTTTTCCCACTGCTTCAACTTGTCAAGAGTAGTAATTATGTTCTAAATTATTAACCACATAATCACTCTATTCTTCGGTATCACAAATTTATTCCATATCACTTGCCACCTTTCAACTTTGAGATTTTTAGGCCTGATTGAATTCCAAATCTGCTGGACAGAGAACCGTTTCATCAATTTTCCTTCCCAAGTTACCTCACCAGCTGCAGTAGTTGAAAACCTGAATTGGAACCAGCTGCGAATAGCCAAAAGCTTTTGCCATATCCACGATCCAGTTTGAGAAGAAGGCATGTCCCAAATTGACCTCCCCCTCAGCCTATATCTTTGGATCCACGCTACCCAAAAGTTCCCACTCTGCATCAATAGAAGCCATAAAAGACGAGCAACACAAGCGACATTCCAACTGCCTAAATCCTTCAGTCCCATCCCTCCCTCCTTCTTAGGGACGACAATAGTATCCCAGACCACTTTTGCACGGCCTGTGCCCTCTCCAAACCAAAGAAAATCCGAGCAAATTTTATGAATCTGATCCAAGACCTTCTTTGGCAGAATAAAAATATTCACCCAAAACTGAACAGGAGAGTAGAGTACAGAGGATATCAATTAGAGCTTGGCCGCAAATGAAAGTTTATTAGCATGCCATGATCTAATTCTAGCAGTGATCTTATCCACTAGGGCTGCACATTCTCTGCTAGAAAGCTGGCCAGCAACTAGTGGAGGCCAAGGTAACGAACATGTAGTTTACCCTCCGCAAAATCAGAAAGAGAGAAAGCATTATCTTCAAATTGAATAGTTGTACCCCCAAGAAATACTTCACACTTCTTTGGATTACAACTCAGGCCTGATAATAAGCTGAAATCATTCAAAAAATTTCGAATCTTAAGCAATGCCACTACAGATCCCTCAGTGAAGATCAATAGATCATCAGCAAAACAAATGTGAGCGAGATCTATTGATCGACACTGAGGATGATATGGAATCTGCTTTGCCTGTGCAGCACTATCCAAAATACCAGAAAGAGGTTCAAGTGCAATGACAAAGAGATAGGGGGAGAGGGGATCTCCCTGCCTAACCCCTTTCCGAGCTTGAAAAAATCCAAATAATGAACCATATAGGCTAATGCTTAAATGTTCAGAGCTAAGACAAATCCAAATCCAATCAATAAATTCAGTTGGGAAATGCATAAGTGATATCACACAGAATAGGTATTCCCAGTTCACTAAATCAAACGCCTTATGCAAATCAATCTTAATGGCACAACGAGAAGCAATGATTTTTTCGAGTAGTTTTGCACAATCTCTTAAGCCATCAAGATATTATCTAAAATACTTCTCCCTTTGATAAAGGCCGATTGATTCCTACTTATCACCTCAGGCAAAGCAATCTATATTATGTTAGCTAGAACCTTAGCAATTATCTTGTACAGTACATTAATGCACGCAATAGGTCGAAAGGCAGCTAGTTTATCTGCATTTGGTATCTTAGGTGCTAAGGTGAGAGAGGTTGTATTAATACCTTTTTGTAGTTGCTTAGTTCTGGAGAACTCTTTAATTCCAGCACAGATATCCTCGCCAATCAGCCCCTAATGCTTCTAATAAAAACTCACGGTCATCCATCAGGGCCAGGTGCCTTTGATGGATCCATAGCAAATAAAGCCAAACAAATTTCTTCATTGACTACCTCTGCAGAGCTTGACTTGATTAGAAACACCGATGTACTTCTTGATATAAGTAGCAATGACATTACATCCGGTTGCACTTATGTGTTGACCACTCCATAAAGCTTATGATAGAATGTGACTGCGTCTGATGCTATCTCTTCCTCATCAGTAATCTCTGTTCCAAAATCTTTAACCGGCTTCCTTAATTTCTTTCGAGCTTGTCTTATCTTCGCTGATACGAGACTTCTGTTTGTAAAAGCTCTCCTCCGCCAGCTTCAGTCTACTCAGCTCACTAGTAAGTTCATGAACTCTATCGAAAGTGATAGCAAAGGGATTCTCAAGAGCTTGAATCTTTGCTTCTTTAAGGCTGGAGCTAGCTTCCTTAACTCTCCCTGTAATGTCAGAGAAGTGCTCTTTATTAAGTTTTTTAAGTTCCAGTTTTAGCATGCTGAATTTCTGCTTGATTGTCCTCAGTGTTGTTCCTGAAAACCTTTGACTCCAAACTTCATGTAGAATTCTCTCATAAGAAGGGTGCAGAGTCCACATGTCATAAAACCTGAAAGGTTTTGGGAAACTTTTCCTATGAATGCAGGGTCTAATAAGCATCTCACTATGATCAGAAAATGATGGAGGGAGGAATCCTGCTACACAGTCTGACAGCCTATCCAGCCAGTCTTCATTTACCATAATACGTTCCAGCTTTCGCGCTATTGGATTAGCCCTCTACTGATTTATCCAAGTAAAGAAGGTGTCTGATGCCTGGTGATCAACTAGGTTCATGTCTCTTAACTATTCTTGAAAGGTAGTCATACTAGAAGTAACTGAAACTTCATTTGATGGCTCAAGCGGGTTAACAATCGCATTAAAATCACCACAAACCAGCCAAGGAAACCCCTTGACTTTCCATTTACTCAATCTTGTATATGTTGCTGCTCTCTCTGTCTCATCATTCGATGCATAGACTGCCGTCATAAAGAATTGTTCCTGAGTTGAGATGGAAACTAGAGCATGGATAAAATTCACATCAGTAGTCAAGACTCGAAGATTGATGTCCTCCTTCCATGCCAACCACACTCTACCCAATGTACCGAACTCATAGTTATCTTCAATTGTAAATCCCCTGAACTTCTCTTTAATTTTCTCTACTTTGTCTGCTTTTATTCGTTTTCCAGTAATGCAAACACCTTTATTTTATATCTACTTATATACTCAAGCATGGACTCATGCTTGGGAGAGGAATTAAATCCTCTTGTATTCCAAGCTAAAACTGTCATTTAGTTGGCGGAGCCTTGTTAGCTCCCTTTTGACTACGAAGACCCTCCCTCCTGAGCAGGGGAAACTGTAACTGCACCTCTTTAGAACAAAGGATCTCAAAAGAATTAGAGTGACTAACCACATATGTTGTTTTCCAAATTTGAGGCTTCTTAGCACCATTGATGACTTTGCTAAATTCTTCCTGAGAAGGTAACGCACTTGGTGTGACAAGAGGAGTGTCCGCAACGAAAACAAGAGGTTGTTCAGACTCAGGTAGACTAGTCTCCTGCAGTGTAACCTTTCCCTCTATCTCAAGTTGAATCTTCTCAACACGAACTTCCTTTTTCCTCCAAATCTTCTTCGTGGTTCCTTTAGGCTTCAAACAGTCATAACCAAAGAGTCCACAGGAATTACAACAGGGAGGCAATTGACAATACTCAATCTCGATATACATTTCACTCATATCATCCGGAGTAATGCTAATTCTGTCAACAAGTTTCTTCTTAGCAATGACCTCGACACAGATTTTAGCACATCCCACCCTCGTCTTCTGTGTTGTTGGTTGATCCATACAGAGAGGCTTTCCAATTTCGCTAGCTACACAACCCAAACCTTCCTTTGAAGAGAGCTCAGCAGGAAGTCCTGAGAGTTTCACCAAATCGGTATAGTCGTGTTGTCAATTTCCAAAGCCCGGATGCTAGGGACCCACCGACGAACACACAGAAGATTATTGCGATAGTGCCACGGTCCTCCTTTAAAAACCCAATTGCACACTGCCTTCGACGGAAACTTGAACAAAACTAGGCGATCCTCTAGCCAAGAAAACTGCACTTCTCCCTCTCTACCCCATAACCAGTTTGTCCAGAACTACAGAGTTGCCAGCGACGACGGAGATGTCAGAAATTGATTAACCAAACTATTTTCCCACTGTCGATAACCCTCGTCCATCACCGACTTCGGAATTCGGATAGATCCATTAATCAACTCAGGCTCAAAGAACTCCAGCCTAGTATCCTCAGAGGCGCCGAAGAGCGAAGCTTACGATCGGCCACCACCAACGGTGCCCGATGAGGCTCCGTCAGCGACGACCGCCATCGTCAGAATTGCAAACCCTAATCCGAATTTGAGAGCGTTTTTTCCCTCGAAGAGAGAGCACAGAGTAATTGGGA